AAGAAGAGCAGAGTATATGGAGAGTAAAAGAAAGGTAAAGAGAGTGGTGAGAGAGTGCAAAAGGAGAGCAGATGATAGAGTGGGAGAGGCACTGTCAAGAAATTTTAATGAAAATAAGAAAAAATTTTGGAGTGAGTTAAACAAGTTAAGAAAGCCTAGGGAAAATATGGATTTGTCAGTTAAAAACAGAGTAGGGGAGTTAGTAGATGGGGAGATGGAGGTATTGGGTAGATGGCGAGAATATTTTTAGGAACTTTTAAAAGTTAAGGAAGAAACAGAGGCAGTAATTTCATGCACTGGTCAGGGAGGTATACCATCTTTTAGGAGTGAAGAAGAGCAGAATGTAGTGTGGGGAGGTACGTGAGGCATTACGTTAAAAAGAAAGGGGGTAAAGCAGCTGGAACTGATGGGATCATGACAGAAATGTTAAAAACAGGGGGATATTTAGTGTTGGAACTTCTGTTTAATAAATGTATGAAAGAGGGAAGGTACCTAGGGATTGGCGAGAGCATGTATAGTCCCCTTTATATAAAGGGAAAGGGGACAAAAGAGACTGTAAAATTGTAGAGGAATAAGCTTACTGAGTATACCAGGAAAAGTGTACGGGAGGGTTATAATTGAAAGAATTAGAGGTAAGACAGAATGGAGGATTGCGGATGAGCAAGGAGGTTTTTAGAGTGGGGGAGGGGGTGTGTAGATCAAGTGTTACATTGAAGCATATATGTGAACAGTATTTAGATAAAGGTAGGAAGTTTTTATTGCATTTATGGATTTAGAAAAGCATAATGATAGAGTGGATAAGGAGCAAGTGGCAGATGTTGCAATTATTGGAATAGGTGGTAATTATTAAATGCTGGTAAAGATTTTTATGAGGATAGTGAGGCTCAGGTTAGGGTGTGTAGAAGAGAGGGAGACTACTTCCCGGTAAAAGTAGGTCTTAGACAGGGATGTGTAATGTCACCATGGTTGTTTAATATTTTTTATAGATGGGGTGTAAGGAATAAATTTGCTAGGGTGTTCGGAGAGGGTGGGATTAAATTTTGGGGAATCAAATTCAAAATGGGAATGACACAGTTACTTTTTGCTGATGATACTGTGCTTATGGGAGATTCTAAAGAAAAATTGCAAAGGTTAGTGGATGAGTTTGGGAATGTGTGTAAAGGTAGAAAAGTTGAAAGTGAACATAGAAAAGAGTAAGGATGATGAGGGTGTCAAATGATTTAGATAAAGAAAAATTGGATATCAAATTGGGGAGGAGGAGTATGGAAGAAGTGAATGTTTTCAGATACTTGGGAGTTGACGTGTCGGCGGATGGATTTATGAAGGATGAGGTTAATCATAGAATTGATGAGGGAAAAAAGGTGAGTGGTACGTTGAGGTATATGTGGAGTCAAAAACGTTATCTATGGAGGCAAAGAAGGGAATGTATGAAAGTATAGTAGTACCAACACTCTTATATGGTGTGAAGCTTGGGTGGTAAATGCAGAGCGAGGAGACGGTTGGAGGCAGTGGAGATGTCCTGTTTAAGGGCAATGTGTGGTGTAAATATTATGCAGAAAATTCGGAGTGTGGAAATTAGGAGAAGGTGTGGAGTTAATAAAAGTATTAGTCAGAGGGCAGAAAGGGGTTGTTGAGGTGGTTTGTCATTTAGAGAGAATGGATCAAAGTAGAATGACATGGAAAGTATATAAATCTATAGGGGAAGGAAGGCGGGGTGGGGGTCGTCCTTGAAAGGGTTGGAGAGAGGGGGTAAAGGAGGTTTTGTGGGCAAGGGGCTTGGACTTCCAGCAAGCGTGCGTGAGCGTGTTAGATAGGAGTGAATGGAGACGAATGGTACTTGGGACCTGACGATCTGTTGGAGTGTGAGCAGGGTAATATTTAGTGAAGGGATTCAGGGAAACCGGTTATTTTCATATAGTCGGACTTGAGTCCTGGAAATGGGAAGTACAATGCCTGCACTTTAAAGGAGGGGTTTTGGATATTGGCAGTTTGGAGGATATGTTGTGTGTCTTTATATGTGTATGCTTCTGGACTGTTGTATTCTGAGCACCTCTGCAAAAACAGTGATAATGTGCGAGTGTGGTGAAAATGTTGAATGATGATGAAAGTATTTTCTTTTGGGGATTTTCTTTTTTTTTTTTTTTTGGGGGGTCACCCTGCCTCGGTGGGAAACGGCCCACTTGTTTGAAAAAAAAAAAAAAAAAATAATATATATATATTTTATATATATATATATATATAATATATATAAAATATTTATTATATATATATATATATATTATATATATATTTATTATATATATATATATAAAATATTATATATATGTTATATATAATATATGTATATTTTAATATATATATATATATATATATATTAATATATATATATATATTACATATTATATATATTTATATATATATTACATATATATTATATATATTTATATATATTACATTAATTAATAAATATTTATATATTTACCCTATATTTATATATATTTAAAATAATTACATATATATTATATATATTTATATATATATATTACATATATATTATATATATTTATATATTATATTACATATATATTATATTTTATTTATATATTTTTTTTTTTTTTTTTATTATCACACCGGCCGATTCCCACCAAGGCAGGGTGGCCCGAAAAAGAAAAAATTTTTCACCATCATTCACTCCATCACTGTCTTGCCAGAAGGGTGCTTTACACTACAGTTTTTAAACTGCAACATTAACACCCCTCCTTCAGAGTGCAGGCACTGTACTTCCCATCTCCAGGACTCAAGTCCGGCCTGCCGGTTTCCCTGAATCCCTTCATAAATGTTACTTTGCTCACACTCCAACAGCACGTCAAGAATTAAAAACCATTTGTCTCCATTCACTCCTATCAAACACGCTCAAACATGCCTGCTGGAAGTCCAAGCCCCTCGCACACAAAAACCTCCCTTTTCCCCCTCCCTCCAACCCTTCCTAGGCCGACCCTACCCCGCCTTCCTTCCACTACAGACTGATACACTCTTAAGTATTCTGTTTCGGGTCCATTCTCTCTACATGCCGAACCACCTCAACAACCCTCCTCAGCCCCCTGGACAACAGTTTTGGTAATCCCGCAAACCCCCTCCTAACTTCCAAACTACGAATTCTCTGCATTATATTCACACCACACATTGCCCTCAGACATGACATCTCCACTGCCTCCAGCCTTCTCCTCGCTGCAACATTTATCACCCACGCTTCACACCCATATAAAGAGCGTTGGTTAAAAAATATACTCTCATACATTCCCCTCTTTGCCTCCAAGGACAAAGTTCTTTGTCTCCACAGACTCCTAAGTGCACCACTCACTCTTTTTCCCTCATCAAATTTTATGATTCACCTCATCTTTCATATAATATATATATATATATTATATATATAATATAATATATATATATATTTTCATATATATTATATATATTTATATATATATATTTAAAATATATATTATAATATATTTTATATATATATTACATATATATTATATATATTTATATATAATATTACATATATATTTAATATATTTATATATATATATTAATATATATTATATATATTTATATATAAAATATTACATATATATTATATATATTTATATATATATATTACATATAAAATTATATATATTATATATATATATATTTCATATATAATATATATATATATATTACATATATAATACATATATAATATATAAAATATATTACATATTATAATACATATATTAATATATATATATATATATTACATATATAATTATATATATATAAAATATAATATATATATATATATTATTTATATATATACACTTATATATATATATATATATATACACATTATATTAAAATATTATATACATATATATATTTTATTAATATAATAAATATATAATATATACATTTTATAATATATATATAAATATATATATATAATATAATATATATATATATATATTTAATATATTTTATATATATATATATATATAAATAATGTGTGAGTGTGGTGAAAGTGTTGAATGATGATGAAGTATTTTCTTTTTGGGGATTTTTTTTTTCTTTTTTTTTTTTTGGGTCACCCTGCCTCGGTGGGAGACGGCCGACTTGTTGAAAAAAAAAAAAAAATATATATATATATATTATAGTAATAAATTATTAATAATAAAATTGTAATAATATGATGAAATATTATTTATATATTTCTATATATATATAATATATATGTAATATATATATATAAAATATATAATATATATATAATATATATATATAAAATTTTAATATATATGTAAATATATAAATATATATAAATATAATATAATGTAAAATATATAAAATATATATATATAAATATATATAATATATATGTAATAAATATATATATATTATATATAATATATAATTAATATAATTTTATATATAATAATATATAATATATATATAATAATATATATAATATATAATAATATAGATATATATATATATATAATATATATAATATATATATATAAATATATATATATAATATAAATATATATATAATATATAATATATAAAATAATATTTTAATATATATATATATATAATATATAATATATAATATATATATATATAATATATAATATATATAATATAATATATAATATATAATATATAATTTTAATAATATATATATATATAATAATATAATATAAAATAAATATATAAATATAATATATATATATAATAATATATAATTATAAAATATATATATATAATATAAATATATATATAATATAAATAAATATATATAATATAAAATATATATATAAAATATATAATATATAATATATATAATATATATATATATAAATATAAATATATATATATATATAAATATTTCAGTATTCTTAAAATATTAAACAGAATTTAAGACAAAATATTTAAAGAAAACAACTCAGGGTTGTTTTTACCTTCTCACTACCAGCTAAATCAACAAGATACAGCTTGCCAAGTAGTTTCTTCTGTGATTCTATATTCTCTTGCTTTACTTGAATTAGGAAAACACTGTGACTTCTTGAACTATGCTCATTCATGTCTGTAAAGAAAAATACATTTTCAGATCAACCACTCCCAAAAACACTAGCTATCAAAGCCCCTAGTAAGTCTGACATGTTCAGCTCCAAACACACAACCATTGCAAACCCACAAAAACCCAACCTATGATGCTTGCGTGTAAAACTCGTAATCACACTCGTGTAAGTCTGCACAGAAAGTGAAAACATTCACGACAAAAGTTACAGTCAAGTCTCGCTTTCCAACTTTAACCTCACTGGACACCCATCCTTATCTTTCACAGCATGGTTAACAAATCCTTTACCAAAAACCCTCAATTCATGCCAACCAAAGAAAACTTTTCTGACAGTGCCCTTGGACACCGTCGGAAAAGTTTAAGATTTATGTTTTTACTTTGGTTCCACTCAAATACAAGAATGGACTCTGAACTTTGATATCTAAAAAGAATTTCATACTGAAATGAGAAATAATTTTTAATACAAATTCTATTACCATTACTCAGTACATGTTTTCTTCTATCAATCAACCTACTTTGCTGAAAGAAACAGTCATCCCTAGACAACAAATATCAAAACTGCTCATCACAAAAGCATTTAACAAAAACTTTCCATAAGTGTAAATTCTGCATGATCATTTCCATAAACTGCTGCCAAGGTGCTATGAATCTCAAATAACAACAACACATCTTATTATCCACGAAATAAAGACAGTACATGAAATTTAAAGTAGTATATATGTATGTTGTAGGTAGTAGGTTGGTAGAAAGCAACCACACAGGGAGGTACTACCGTCCTGCCAAGTGAGTGTAAAACAGAAACAAGTAATTGTTTTACATGATGGTAGGATTGCTGGTGTCTTTTTCCTGTCTCATAAACATGCAAGATTTCAGGTACGTCTTCCTACTTCTACTTACACTTAGGTCACACTACACATACATGTACAAGCATATATATACACACACCCCTCTGGGTTTTCTTCTATTTTCTTTCTAGTTCTTGTTCTTGTTTATTTCCTCTCATCTCCATGGGGAAGTGGAACAGAATTCTTCCTCTGTAAGCCATGCGTGTTGTAAAAGGCGACTAAAATGCCAGGAGCAAGGGGCTAGTATCCCCTTCTTCTGTATAAATTACTAAATTTAAAAAGAGACTTTTTTTTTTTTGGGGGGGGGGGGGCACCCTGCCTTGGTGGGATACAGCCGGTTTGTTGGAAAAAATAAAAAAAGTATGCATGTTCTCCATGGGGAAGTGGAACAGAATTCTCCCTCAAGTCGTATGCGTCGTAAGAGGTGGCTAAAATGCCGGGGGCAAGGGGCTAGTAACCCTTTCTCCTGTATGTATTACTAAATTTAAAAAGGGAAGCTTGCATTTTTCTTTTTGGGCCACCCTGCCTCAGTGAGATGCAGCTGGTTTGTTGAAAGAAGTAGAAAAGTATGTATGCATAAACTATACCACAGGCAGGGATAGAACCTGCAATCAGAGTCATAAAACTCCAGACCGATGCATTAGCCACTGGCCCAGTGGCTAATGCATCGGTCTGGAGTTTTATGACTCTGATCGTGGGATCTGTCCCCACCCATGGAATGGTTTGTTTGCAATCGTGTCATTATGATTTCACGAGTCATATGTATGTATGGTGTGTATTATGGAGTACTGTATTAAAAAATTTATACATAAAATAATGCTCCATATATAATGTCATTTTCCGTGTAGTATACTGAAAGCAGACATGTATTCTCCCATGAAAGTGAACTTGTTTTATTCCTGTCAGTCAGGCAGTGGCCAGGACAGGAACAGATGAGAGATGTTTTATAGTTCAGTAAGTGTAGGAACGTGGCTGGGCATAGTAGTTATGGGTTGGTGTTCGTTTGAGTAGGTAATTTTGGTAATTTTTTTAGTGTATACCATAGTTGTTTAAGTGCTCTCATGTTTATTTGTAAAGCCCTAGTATGCAGGGGCCTGTGTTTTGGAGAGTATATAACGTTTTCACTGTAGGCTAAGTAGCCTGCAGAAAGGGGGGGTGTCATAAAGCCTCCCTGTTCATAAATGTTCATTTATTTTAACTCATTAATAGCAGTGTGCTAGTGAGCTCATGTGAACTGGAGTGTGGTGGTTTTTTGTAGTAGTTATAAGTTCTATATAAGTTACTATTAATATAGATATATTTTTATATACAGCAGACAGTCATTTAACACCAGTTACATTCTTGAAAATAGCCTGTTAGGTAAAAAAGTGTTAGATGAACTGAAGAACTTATGGGAAAAATAGGGTTACATTCCTGAGAGTCCCAAAAAAAGCCAAAACTTTTTTTTAGGCCTCCACATCTTACAAAAATAAAAGTGAATATGGAATTGTAGTTCATTGTGATACATTATGTTGTTTTTACAGGTTAAAACTACCTTAAATTGTGGGTGCTGGTATTTGTGGATGATTGTGAAGAGTGGAGAGTTATGCTGTGGCCCTACTGGGCTGAGGTGGCTGGTAGAGGTTCTGGTACTGGAGTGTCTAACTTCAAGTCAGTCAAGCCAGTAAGTCATTCAGTCAAGTCAGTAAGTCAGTCACACAAACCCATGTTTACCTCTTTTTATGTGTACGAAGTAACACTTCATTACCGTCATTTCTTGTCTAATATCTTTGTTTCCTTCATTAATTCTAAAACTAAGACTTGAATGCTTACACCTTTTCTTGCCACTTTCAGCAACACTGGTATGCCTACTGGGTGTCATGATTGCTTGGCAAATACAAGATATAGTAATTAAAAGATCAAAACAATTCACAAACACAGCTAGCTTGTAGCAGAGAAAGACTGGACTGGACACGTATGAAATACAAATGGTGGGGTGGTGTCGAGGGTGGCAGGAGGTCTTCTCCGCTGATCCACAACAAGGTGACTGCTTGAGGAAAAGGGAATTATTGTTTTTTCCTTCCCACAAACTGAACCATGTTATATTAATTTTATGACGTGTTACATAAAATTGTGCCGCAATTCTTCAATCGTGCTATACCTGAATATTGCCAAATAAACTCGTGCGAAATGACTGTCCTACTGTAGGCAAGTTTTTGTCCTTCTTTCCTAATAATAATTAATACTGTTTAACATGAATACATGCTGGCCCAAGGTTTCTTGTGTTTTTCAGAGTAATTTTATAACCCCTAGACAGCAGTGTCAGCAGCTTCTAGGAGCCAGGACCATTTTATTGAAGTTACGACATCAAAGTCATAACAATGTGTATATGTATGATATGTATGTACGACACGGAAGCTGTATATATGCACAGTGGAACCTCGGCTTACGAATTTAATCCGTTCCGTGACCTTGTTCGTATCCCGATTTGTTAATATGCTGACTCAATTTTCCTTGTTTAAATTAACTGAAATGGCATTAATCCATTCCAGAGGAATTCCTGCTCTCAGGAGGCATGACAAAATACTTCAACGTTATGCTAATATCAACACTATGGCTTATTTATCTATCATAATTCATCTAATTTCACCATCACTCAAGGAATGCACAACAGGTGCATCATTGTCAATGTTCAGCATTTCTTTGATGTCAGCTTCCTGTAACTCCATTATCACACAATCAAGATGAGTAAATAGAATTGTCAATGCTTATTGCTTGGGTATGTTTATTCTGTTAGTGGGCTAGATTTGTGAAGGACCTGCCTAGCATGAGCCAACAGGCCTACTGCAGTGTTCCTCCTTTCTTATGTCATTATGTACCTATGACACCAATCATACCCAGCCCCTCCCACTCACATATTTGTCCAATCTCTTTTTAAAGCTACCCAAGGTCCTACTGAAGCTAAAACCTTGGGTAGTTTCAAGTTTCGGTTGGATAAATACAAACACGAGTGAGAGGGGTTGGATTTGAGTGGAACTTGCACGTGAGTAAATAGAATTATCAAAGCTTATTGCTTGGGTAGCATTGAAAATTGAGTTGGGCAAATATTCTGTTAGTGGGATGGATTGTGAAGGGCCTGCCTAGAATGGGCCAACAGGCCTGCTGCAGTGTGTATTATTATTATTAGTATGCACATATTATAATAATAATAATTATTATTATTAATTTAGGGAACTGGAGCACAGATCCAATTTCCTTGATCAAGAGCCTCTTGCCAAGGAACCTCCCTTGAGGGGGAAGTCTGCATCCTGAAATTTCGTTCGTATCCAGAAGCCAAAAAATTGACCGAGCAACTGTTCGTGTCCAGAAAAATTTGCATGGTGAGGCATTCGTAACCCGAGGTTTCACTGTATATATTGTGTGTGTGCACGTGTATATGTACACACACACACACACACACACACACACACACACACACACGGATGTTCAAGAGATGGGACACAGCAACAAGGGGACACAGTTGGAAGTTGAAGACACAGATGAATCACAGGGATGTTAGGAAGTATTTCTTCAGCCACATAGTAGTCAGGAAGTGGAATAGTTTGGGAAGCAATGTAGTGGAGGCAGGATCCATACATAGGTTTAAGCAGAGGTATGATAAAGCTCACGGTTCAGGGAGAGTGACACAGTAGCAACCAGTGAAGAGGCGGGGCCAGGAGCTAGGACTTGACCCCTGCAACCTCAACTAGGTGATTACGCACATATGTATGCACACACGCACACATGCACGCACACATGCGCGCGCGCGCACACACATTTTCTTGGACTGCAAGAAGGCGTTTGACACAGTTCCACACAAGAGATTGGTGCAAAAACTGGAGGGCCAAGCAGGGATAACAGGGAAGGCACTACAATGGATCAGGGAATACTTGTCAGGAAGACAGCAGCGAGTCATGGTACGTGGCGAGGTGTCAGAGTGTGCACCTGTGACCAGCGGGGTCCCACAGGGGTCAGTCCTAGGACCAGTGCTGTTTCTGGTATTTGTGAACGACATGACGGAAGGAATAGACTCTGAGGTGTCCCTGTTTGCAGATGACGTGAAGTTGATAAGAAGAATTCACTTGATCGAAGACCAGGCAGAACTACAAAGGGATCTGGACAGGCTGCAGACCTGGTCCAGCA